ATGTATCTCGCCTTTCGCCCTCTGCATTAATTTTGTTATAGAGAAGAAACATCTCCTTCACTCTCCTTCCCTTCCCCTTGGACTCATCCAAACAAAGGCTGAAGCTCGAGACAAAAATCTGATCTTACATTGTCTCGAGCTAAAAATTACACTTTCGATGACGCTTCTCTGCTATAAATTCATGAAGCAATTCAATGGCATTTTTCTCCTTCACATCGATAGAGCCTATCCGATAGGTGGACTTGGGTTAAAGTCTTGCTCCACAGAGTGAATCTATCCACCTTTGATTCAGGTGTGTAAACTATCAATCTTTTCATCATCATTATTTGGATATACACATGCTTACTTTATTGTTTTCATCATTTTCCCTGTTTTTTCTTCAATTATTCTTCAATTTTCTACTGTCTTGTTTTGTTGGTTAGTTTGTTGGTTGAATATTGAATTCTTCTTAATTTTCTATTATCGGCAAAGGAAGGCTTTGGATCTGCTTAAGTATTACTTGTTTAATGAAATCAGCTAACCCTAATTAGTAATTTCCTTATATTGTCTCTGTCGCAAGGAAGAATGGCAGGCAAAGGAAAGAAGAAAATAACTGGAGCCGATGAAGAAGGAAACAAAGGAGGACCAGGGCGTCCGCCACTGTCTCAAGAAGAAAAGATGAAAAAGAAGGAAGAGAAAAATAAAAAGAGCAGAGAAAGTCCGGCAATTCAGAAGGTAAATAATGTGCTGTTGTCTTCATAAGAACAAAGTATGTTTAAGCTTGTGCATGACTGGAATAGCTACGTTTAAGCATCACATATTAATATACATAAGGTTTAACGAAAAACTACATGTAGCTGAAAGTAGATGAGTGTAAATTGTTTACAAACAGACTTAGTAAAGCTTAGATACAAAAGGCTTACTAAATAATGGAGCCAAATTCTTGTTTTTTTGGTAAATATACAGGTTTGCATGTGTTACCAAGTAAATGCCCACAGCTGACATATAGGAGACTCTCTGGAGTAGTAGCTAGGATGTCAGCTACACTCGACACACCTCTTAAGCCAGTCTGAAATAAGATGAAATACACTAGGGTGAACTTGAGAAAGCCCAGTAAGAATATATATAGATTATGGCTTCAAGCTATAACTGAGCCATATGGTTATTAGTCAATTTTAAGACATAAGCTAAAAGTAAGCTACTGAATTTAGAAGAGTAGCTGATGGCAGATTTTGCTTGCACCTAATTTAGATAATTAGCATGCTACAGACCAAGTCACGGCAATTAGCACAAGCATTTCATAACAAAATTAGGCATAAACTGACATGGTGTACATAAACAAAGTAGGTTAATTTTCATGCCTTTCATAATTAGCTAATCTCAATATAAATGAAACTTGAACAAAAATAGAACAAACATAAACACCAAAAACAATCAATAAGCATAAACTAAATGGCCAGGGAGTCCACTGTCCACTAGTGTCCATGCATTCACACTCTAGTAATGAAGCTAATCTCGGTACATCCCTACTGCACACCGAGGTTCACTACTATTCTCATTAGAGATTCATTATTGGACACCCCTGAGGGGTTAACTATTCCCAAACCATAGGGTTAGCTAGCCTCTAAACTTCCATAGTTCTAAGGCAATTGCAGGCTTATATATATACAGGGTTAAGTATATAATTAAATAATTAACATGCACAAAATGTTAAACCAAAACATGACACACTGATAATCTGTTTATGACATATATCATTATTAGAAGCTAGCACATAAATTTATGCATGGATGTCATTCATCTTAATTACATTCAAGCACAAGAACAAGAATAGAATGTTCTGTTTCTAGCCTAAAATACATGTCATTCATCTTACATTCAATTTCTCTTAAGTTGGTCTTTGATGCTCATGATGACCATAAAAGAAGTGGTGTGGGAACTTCTTTGGGGATGGTATATATGTAGGTAGCTAGTATGATTTTTCTATCATTTTAGTTTATGACCTGAGTATGTGTATACAAAATATGTGGTTGGTGTTATATTTATATTGCTGGAGTTTTAAACTTTCCGTTTCTTCTTTATATGGCTTTCTTTCAAGTCTGTTTGCTTTGTCTACCTTAGTTCAGGGAAGAATTGATGTGGATTAGCACTATGGTGCAGTAATCCATCCATAATCTCCAATATGTCCATGCAGCCCTCAGCTTACATCTGAGTTTCCACCTTCCTCTAATCACTCTCCAGGGCTGCAGCAGACTTAATTTGTCTCCATCCATCAGCTGTTCTATGTTTTGTTATGTGTGCAGTTTTTTTGTATGTTATTTTGAGGATTTTGCATAGGTTCTACCGTTTAGCTTCCGTTTATTTGGGTTGTAATGGATGAGTTTATATGTAATAGTTCATTTCTTGGAAAAGAAAATGATTTCATATTAATGATTGAATTTCATTACCTGAATTATATTTGTAGTCCGCCTAAATTAAAAGGAAAAATATTATTTATTCTGTTTTAATTGTAAATGCAGTGTGAATTCAGTAGACTTCTGCAAGAGGAAAAAGTATTCAAGGCCTTTTGTGAGGAGCATGGACTAACGGAAGTGTACCAAAACTATCGTGAAAAGTGGAAGAAAAGAACTGAAGAAAGTTCAAAGGTTTGATGATATTTCTCAAAACTAACAGGAGATGGATGGATGAAAGGATATATAGCAATTTACAAATAAATGCAAATAAACATTTTCGATCATTTCCCATGCATGATTTATTTTTTGATCTTTGTTTTTCATTCATCAGATGAAGGGTATGGAAGAGCAAACAAGAGAGTTCAATGAAGAAGTTGACAAGCTTGCTGAAGTTATTTTGGTTTGATTATCTGTGCCCTACTTCCTTCCAACCTTAGCCATGCATGCATCTTTTCATTTTAGGTTTTGACATACATTTATTAGTGCATCACAGCCCTACCACAAATGTGCTCTGATTTCATGTTCTATTGCCCTTTAATTATCTGAATCTTTTCAACTCTCTCTCTCTCTTGCTTAATTCCAGGGTTGTGGAACAAACATACCATATGAGGAGGTAGGCGATATTTTGCTGCATTATATGTTTAAAAATGTTGACATCCTAATTATGAAATTACTGTTTTTTCTTATCTTGCAGGGACTTCAACTACTTATACAATATTATTCTGAGGTATAGAAATTTTGCTGCCTCATCTTTTAATCTTTTAACTAGAGTGCTTCTGGTTGATCAGTTTGATTAATTGATACCCACTAACATAAAAAACTTGATTTAGGGCTACTGTGAGGCATCCAGACTCTTATACCAGTAGCTACTAACTCAATATACTAAAAAAATGTACACTATCTTTTAATAATGTTGCTATTCTAATCATGTCATTACTGTTTTAACTTTTTCCTTAACTTACAGGACCAGGCAGCAGCTGTTGAGGAGGTACAGATACTTTGTTGCATTACCTTTTAAAATTTCCTAATGCTGAAAAAATTAAGAATCCAAAATCCCAGTTCTTGGCGGTTTCATTAAATACTTAATGTAAAGAGTGACTATCATAGTTTTGAGTTTTTAGATTCTAATTTTTTGAGTGTTAGGATATATTCACTTTTCCTTTACAGCTTGTTTGGTTTGATGGGAGGGGAGGGGAGGGAAAGGGAGTTCCCTCTGTTTCTCTCAAACCAAACAGGGTAGTATCATGGACTTACTGTTTTAACATGTTTCTTAACTTGCAGAACCGTGAAATGTTGGAAGGAAACTTAAAGGGTATAGATAATTTGCTGCATTATGTTTTATTTTTTACATTCTAATTACGGAATATTGTTTGAACTTTTTCTTTAACTTGCAGCTGGACCCTCAAATGTTGACTCGAATTCTGGTGGAGAATGGCAGTCTAGCACTACTTTGATAACTGGTGTTGTCGCCGATTCTAGTAGCGCTGGAGGTCATGGTGGTGAGTTAATTATTTGACTGGGCCAGGGCCAGGGCTGGGGCTGGGTAGCTGCCTTAATCGTTGCTATACATTAGGCTAACTCTCTTGTTTTGAATTTGACAGGAATAGGGCCGAAGTTAGGCACCCCATTTGAGCAAGCATGGGAATTAAAGAGGAAGAGAGAGGAAGAACTGGATGAAGCTCGTAGGGGCAAAAGGCCTGCAACTGCTGACAATTACACTCCACCTCATCCTCCAATTGATGGTTCTCAACCTAGTGGGTTTATGGCTGATGCTCGCCGCCAGACTTCCCCTCAGTCAGCTGCTGCACATCTTTTCTCTACCTCAGCATGGGCATCTCAGTGGGAGGAGAGGTTAAGGAAGTTAACTGGTGAGCCTGTGCCGGGGGTTAACAATGGAGCCCATGCAATTATGGACGATTTTGTGAAGCTGGTCAGCAAACTATAATTAAGGCCTTTTTCTTCTTCAAAAGTTCAAATTATTATTATTATTTTTTTTTTTTTTTGAGTCAAAATTTCTTCCTCAATTAATCTCTATTATCTCCAACTTTTTTTGAAAAAAAGACAATGACATTCTTCTCTTTCTTTTCCAGGTTCTGGGGTCCTCTATCTCTCATGCAATTTATCTGGCGAAGCAATATGAGAAGCTCCAAGTCAAAGATGCTGAAATAAGAAAGCAGGAACAAGAAGTTTTAGCAGCTGCTTCTATTGATGCCAACCCTAAATTCAAGGAAAAGAAGAAAGAAGCAGACGACCTGAAAAAACAAGTAGAGGAGCTGCAGGAGGAAGTTAGCAAACTTCAGGCTGAACTGGCAAAGAAGGATGAGATTATTTCCAAGGATGTATTTAAGCAGAACCTGGCTGCCGTATCCCTTGGCTGGAATTTAATGAAGAAGTTTCTGGAGTCCATGGATGCTGGTACGGAGTTGCTTAACCTGTCTCTCTTGGACACCATTAAGCACCATCCTCCTCTTCTTCACCAGTTCAACGAGGGTCTGACTTCAATAGGTCAGGGACATACTGATATTGATGACACATTTTGCATCCCGTTCGATCTACCAGTGGTTGTGTCGGACCCCTTTGTTTCGGATCAGTTCACCCAGACTGTCAATACGGAAGGTGAGCTCATCGGCTTTGGCCCTCCAGGAGATCCTAATGTTGTCATCTTAAGTGCCAATAGTCCTCCGCTTCAGACTGCAAATACCGGAACTAACAATTTGGACCAGGAGGACAATATTGCTAATCGGGAGAATAAAGCTGCAGAGGCTGACAACTCAGGAATGGGCGCTGATGCCACCTGTGGATCGTGGTATCCTTGAATTCCTCCCTTTTTACATCTGAATAATAGTTTGGAATGCATTCGTACTTGCTTAATTTGAACAATTTCATTGCCCCTGGCTCCTGCGCCGTATAGCCCAGAAAACTGATAGAGTTTGTATATATTTTCCTTCTGTTTATCCATTGGATTCACCGAATGCTATATTTTGGTGCCGATGGGAGCATCTTCTTATTGGACATTGATATGTTGATGCTTGCTTTGCTCTTTTTTTTTTTTTTTTTT